TTATTTTTATTAGTGTGGCTCTAATACTCCGTCATTTATTACTGATGTCATTCTAACATCACTTTTTATTTTCAAAACAGCCATTTTGGATTTTAGCGTTGGGTCTTGTGTAAAACCTATCAGGAAATTTGGTGTTCCAAGAGGAGAGGAAATTCAAAGTTAATTTAACGTAAGAACTTAATAAATGGACCAATAGACTCCTACACTGTTATTAGAGATGTTTGGTCCACCATCGTGCCCCAACGTGGAGAATGTGAAGTCCCAAGCTTTAAACTTTTGGCTGTGCCCTGTCTGACTGAGAGTCTACCTCAGGAAATTCATAGTTCCATCCATCACTGTGCTGAATAAACCAGGTTTGTTTGTTTTGGCATCTCTCACCTCCAGTGGTACAGGCTCCCAACAGGTTCACAATGTTCACGTGATTTCCAAGGTAACTGAGAACCTTCAGCTCAGACATCAGTGCTTCCTTCTCCGTGGAATGAGCGTTAGCTAAGATGACATCATCACAAGTACTTGAGTAAATGTATTTACTACCACATCATCATGTAAATTATAAAAAGGACAATCCGACTTACGTTTTAGCATCTTAACAGCGACGGTGGTGACTGTATCTGCAGAGCACAGTCCATATGCTGTGGCTCTTACCACCTTCCCAAAAGCCCCAGAGCCAAGGGTTTTACCTTTAAGTGCACAAACATCAAACATATCATCTAATGATACATGCAGGCACTCCCACAAATGGTGGCATACCATTAATAACACCATAAACTCGGATGCTGTCATACCAAAGCGAAGCTTCTGTCGGGAAAACTCCCATTTGATGTCATACGGCAGCTGGAGGGGGTCAATGTAGATATAGTTGTTTCCCTTGATACTCTCAATGACTTTCCACTGGATCTGGAACTTTGGTTTCTGTTGGAGGAGAAAAAAGGTCACAGGTTTATACGTAGAAAACTGGCATTGCTTTTACTTTACAGTATAACTAAAAGCTACTGTTAGATTGGTTTAAATTCCTTTCTGATGCAACTTGATTGGAAATTACTCGTTTCTTTGCCCTTATCTTTATTCTAGGTTTGATCAATCAATGTACTTCAGTTGACAAGCTGTGTCTAGACATTTCCCCTAGGATCCCACTGCAGATGCACACACTGGTTCTCCAGAAGCCTGACTCATCCGAATTCAATAAGAGCAGCATGATCAGAGGGGTGAATTAATGCCTTGAGACGTCACTGGTGTGTCAAGAAATCCTTTAAATACACTGTCTGTACTCTGAATGGTTAATTAACTCTGTTCATGATAATTAGGTCACATTCACACTGATCAAAAGAACGCTTTCTTGCACTGTATCATCACAGAGTGCCATGAAACGGACGCTTCTAACTTACAACGAGGAGGCAGAACTTGTTAGTAAATGAGAATGGGCTCTTTGCTAGAAGCTGCAGAAGCCGTTTACTTTTCCATTGGCGGAAACTGTATATTAATGAACTTTATTTGACAGTGATGTGCATTAATGGATTTGTAGATTTGAACATGACTAATAGTGACAGATGTGACATTTATGACTCCGCAGGTTACAGTTGTTGTAATAATGTGGTAGCAACAGGTCATGGTTGACAAGATGTCCAGATACTGCGGCTGCAAAACAAGGCCAAATCATCACCCTTCCATTGCCGTGCTTGACAATAAAATGCTATATTTATGTAGGTATTCAACAAATGTGGCCCCATGCATTAGGGACAACTCTGAGCTCATCAGTTCAAAGGTCAGTGTCTTTAAAGTTATAGTTGTTTCTTCAGATGCTTCTATACCAACCAGTTGCACTGCCATGTCTTTTTAGAGAAAAGAGGTTTTTGGAATGCCCCCTCTGGGTCGGTGGGGGGGGGGGGGGTCTTTGCCTCAGGTGGCAGAGTTTAAGTATCTGGGTGTCTTGTTCGTGTTCCTTCATGGAAGGATGGAGCGAGAGATAAATCGATGGATCAGGGCCTAGTCCTCAGTAATGAGGCCATTGCTTTGGTAAGTGGTGGTAAAGAAAGAGTTTAGTCAAAAGGCAAAACTCTCATTTTACTAATCTGTCTACATTTCATTTCTTATCTATGGCCATGATCATGACTGAAAGAAAGAGCTTCTGGGTACAAGTGGCTGAAATAAACTTCCTTCAAAGTGTGGCATGACTCAGACTTAGAAATAGAGTGGGGAGCTCTGTCATCTTAGGAGAGCTCAGAGAAGAGTTGCTGCCACTTTGTATCAAAGGAGTTAGTTGAGGTGGTTCGGGCATCTGATCAGTAGGAGGCTTCTGGGACACCTCCCTTTAGAGGTGTTTTGGGCATGTCCCACTGGGACGAGGTCCTGGGGCAGACCCAAACTCAGTGGAGGCATTGTGTATCTTCTCTGCCATAAGAATGGCTCAGGGTCCCCCAGGAGGAGCTGGGGAGTGTCACTAGGAAGAGGGATGTCTTCTCTCCTGGACCTGTTGCTTCCACAATCCAACTATGGCTGAGCAGTAGAAGATGGAGATGGAGGTTTGCTCTTGGTATCAAACAAGACTTAAATGTTTGGTTGTTTCCTCTTTGTACAGTCATGGGCTTTTACATTGGACAGTAATTATACACTTTGAGTTTTGGAGTCGTTTCAAAACTTGAGTATAGTCATCTCATCTTGTCTAGATATCCAAGCATTTCATCAGCAGCATTTAGCTGCTACTTACCTTCCAAATTTCCTGGAAGCAGTAACTCAAACATTTGTATTTTGCACAATGTTTTTACAGTTTGCCTTAACTTTTGTGTAAAATAGCATGTCAAATGTTGCTTGTCTGAGCTCATATTTGCCTAATTTTTTCCACACCTTTGAATTAAAGTAACAGAAGTGTACCTCTCATGGCTATATGCTGACTTCTTATCTCACCTGCATGTACTTGTAGAAAAGCACAACTAGAATGAGGATGAGGAAGGCGCCAGTAGCCACCATGCCAGTTAGAAGAGGTGTGAAGAGTTTGTGAGGCACAATCCGCTCTGTGAAAAACACAAATCGACAAAATCAGTAAGCACATGGATTACATTTTAGTATAAACAAGGTTTTAGTGACAGTTACACAAACATTTACTGCACTGGTGGGTACTACCAGCTGAATAAATGCATTTACCAAGACCAACCTCACCCGAAACTTAATCTAATATCACATCTGATTAATGGAAATAAAAACTATCAGACATCAGCATTTTTTCATACTC